CACCTAACACTGTACACCTAATTGAAGAAACGCTGTCGGGTCCAAAAAGGTCAAATCATAGAAGCTAAGACCGAAAGGGTATTTRGGAAGACAAACAATTTGCCTAATTTCATAACAAACAGCTCTCCAGCATAAAAGACTATCATGCTGTTAATCTTACTAGCTCTACTTGCTTAGTGTACACCGTATATGCAARTGTAATCCCAATTTAGTGGTACTCAAAATCCCTTTCGGTCTTAGCTTCTATGATGYGACCTTTTCGAACATGACTACGTTTTTTCAATTAGGTGTATGCCAAGTGACTACCGATGTCAGAATCGAAACATAAAAGTAATTTAACCTTTTCTTGAGGCTCGTTACAAAAGACATTGTTAGCATTGGTCCYATGAGGCTGACCCCCCCTTTCCCCCCAGCCTACGGGCCTGTGCTCCGGTCCGTATAAGGTTTAACTAGACGCTCTTGGAGCGTGAAGTCGGGCAAAGATTTCAAATTAGAACAAGAAGAAACTTTGTTTATCAATAACGGAAAGGCGAATTTAATGATTTTATAGGCATCTTTTTCCTTGTAAAGTATATATTTTCTTGGCCTTAGAGGTCAACGTATTAGATATCATGACATCACTTAGCGACATTTTGTCTAGCAAGTTTGATTTTATCAGTCAAAGCAAGGACTCTTTTAAAACGTTCTTATCGCATTAATTACATGACATTTTAGGTCAAGTTTATTTTAAGTCTCAATAAATTTTGCATATTTTGAACTAGACGCTCTTATTAGACCGTGAGTTCGGCTATTTTGGAAAAAAATTAAGAAATATGTAATATCCTGTCTTTCTCAATTTTCAAAAACAGCTAATCCGACTTCACGCTCCAAGAGCGTCTAGTAAGGTTTAATTCGGAGCACCATAAGAGAAAGTGCTAAATTTAACCATTTTTTGCATTGATCTACACAGGGTTTCTGACTGTACTCAGGAAACCCATAACCGCACGAAATAGGAATTTTTTCCATATTTTACCGCTATTTTGCCAATATGATATCGTCAAAAGCCATAAAAGTAGCAAAATCAATGAAAATGAATCCAGTGTGCCAATCACTGGAAAAAAATGGTGCACTTTAAATGTTGTAAATTTGATGTAAATATGATGTAAGTATCCAATTAACATCCAATTTACATCATTTTGGACACTTACATCATATTTACATCAAATTTACAACCTTTAAAGTGCGCGATTTTTTCAGTGAATTTTCGTTAAACTGCGACGCGTTTGCACAAACGTCTGCCATGCCACGACTAACAACCKTTAGAATACCTGAAAACTCCCTAACATTCAGAAAATGACTTGTTATCATTAAGCCTAACCCTTAAATCAAACTCAATAGCACATTTGCTCGATGATTAGTCTCATTTTCTTGACGGACATTTTGACTGACACTGTTTATCCGCAAGCCRTTCATATAGACAGGTAGTTAAATTGAAGTTTTGATTCCTTGCATATCCTTGAAATAGTAGTAGATCCTTATAAAATTATCTTGGTATGGAGCTCCGCAATTAGGTGTTACCTTTAATTTTTGTATTAATTGTTTCTCTTATCCAGGCAAAACAAGCACTTTCACATGGAGAAGTCCCAGTTGGGTGCATTATGGTGTACAATGACATTATAGTAGGACTAGGAAGAAATGAAGTYAATGAAACAAAAAATGCGACAAGGCATGCAGAATTGGTTGCTATAGACAAGACCAGAAAATGGTGTCTAGAAAGAAACTTGGATGAAAAAATGGTTTTTGAATCTACAACACTCTATGTTACAGTAGAACCATGTATCATGTGCGCAGCTGCACTGCGATATGTTGGCTTGCGTAGGATTGTGTTTGGTTGTGAAAATGAACGCTTTGGTGGGTGTGGTTCTATATTGCAACTTCATTGTGACAAATGTTCTTCAAGCAATGACGCCGTGACAAAAGACATGATCCCAGGACTGCCTTTACAGTTTAACTCTGGCATTCACGCTGACGTTTCAATTAAACTCTTAAAAACATTTTACCAAGGCGAAAATCCCAATGCTCCCAATCCCACAGATAAATCTAAAAGAAACACCTAACATCATTTTTTCATCATGCAGTATGTCAATGTCACGATATCATGATACATGATATGGAATAGTCTCCTCTCGCAGCCGTTAGAACGTTCGTTCCCAGGTCAGACCCCCAAGTGACCTGGGAACGAATGTCCTAACGGCTGCGAGAGGAGACTAGGTATGGAAGCATTCATACAATATCCACGTTTCCAGTTCCTTAATACTTAATACTCGAAATGACATCATCACATCTTAAACTTGTAGCAAAATCACCCAATGCACCTATGCGTAACTATCCTTAACACGTAAGATTCAATGTAGCGTTTATACAAGAAAACTTTAACACGTTCACAAATGTGGTAAACAAAGTCTACCTAAATGCACGTTGTCTACGCATATGTGCATGTGCTTTGTTATGCACCGCAGTACTCGAACCCAGGCATTTCTTCTCGGCAAAAACAGGTGGTGGTGACGTTATGCAAGGTTAGGAACGAGGCTATACTTGCTTCCCCAGCCTCACTTGGRKGCTAATTTCCGGTACCCAACATGCATTGCCGCCAGACGTGACYGACAGCACGTAATATAATGTAAACAGTCAGCAYCCTAAACAGTTTAGTTTCAAGTAAAGTTCTGTCACCCTCGACTGAGTTTTTAGGACGGCGGAATGTTCTCTCTCATCGATACCTCTTCTAGTCGGGAGAGAGTAGCCACGGCTACGAAAAACGTTAGACCATCATTTATGGAAGTAAAATTAAGATAGATAGATTGTGAAGTGTCAATTGWAACTTCATGKACAGTAGCATCTGTGTTTGATGAATCTTGATTACCTTCTTGTAGGCTCAGTCTCCAGCCGTCGGGATTTCGTGCGCCCGCGATACTCTCTCCC